ACCCATCCTGGTTCTCCGAGATTTTCTACAGAAATGAGCTTGAACAATTCCTTTTTTAAGCAGCCCCACTCAGTGATCATTAAAACAGTTATTTGCTATCCTCTCTACTCTGTCACTATTTGTTGATGGGAACGAGTTGAGGCTATTAGCCCCCACAATCACTTACATAAGTCTTATAGGTAGGTTGTCCAATTGAACGTAGTTCTTGGGATCTCCAATCTTTCTAGGTTGGATTTTCCTTTATAAAACCTTTTCCTCAGCAGGGTTAAGCCCCATTTCTCTAGTCAGTTTTTAGATTGCATCACGATTTAACCCTTTGGTTAGCGGATCCGCTAGGTTATCTTTTGACGCAAGATGGTCTATCGCAATAACCTTAGTTGTTCAGTTGTCTAATGAAATTGTGTCGCCGAAAAATGTGTCAAGTCTTTCCATTGTATATTGTACTTTCAGCTCTGCAGATAGCAAATTTACTATTGCAGTAAAAGGGTTATGGCATAGACTGGTTTGTCTCATTCAGAAATATCCTCAAGAGTGTGACGTATCCATTCCGCCTCTTTTCCAACGTCTCCCACAACTGCTTAGCTGTTAATCCATGCCGGTAGATACCGTATAGGGAGTCGCTTAAGCCATACAATACATAATTTTTGCACATAAAATCTGAGCATTTCCAGGCTTTCAAAATTTGTGTTTTTTGTTCTTTTGAGGGTCCTTCTGGCACAACAGGTGCAGTCTCCGTTAGCCAATCTGCCAGATTCAGCAGTGGTAAGATAATACAACATCTTTTACTACCATGTTTTAAAATTCTGCCTGTTGAATTTTATTTTTTTGACTTTTCGGCTACTGCAGCAACAGGCTGGCTGAAAGTTGCAACAAGAGGTTGTATTACATGGTATGCAACAACAACAAACTGTATACCCTCTAAGTTATTTAATTGTTGGCTGGAAGATGCAACGACATCCTGTGCAGGTTCCGTAGCCATATGTTGCGGATGAGGCATAACAGAAGCAGACTGTCTCACGAGGGTATCAACATAATCCTTTTTTTTTATTTTTTTGCTCAGCAACAGGCTGGTTGGAGGTTGCAACAATAGGCTGTGCCGCTTCCATCGCAGCCTTGAAGGCCTGTTTATACGCTGCCTTTACAACCTTTTTGGCAACAGTCCTCTTGCCTGCCTCACCGGTTAGGCGGTGTGGCTGAGATCATTAAACATAGAGAATGGGAGTCTGAAACTCGTTGGAGTAACCTCGTTCTCCCCCCCCCCCCCACATCTGCATCAATCTGAATATCATCATTCAAATTTTTGTCGCCTCAATCGCGCATAACATCGATCATTCCTTCGTCATCAAGTAGGTTTTGGGGATCACGTGAGAAGAGGGAGGTTTTTTTTTTCTCTATCTCGGATTTCAAGAATTCACTTCAAGATTGTTGAAAAAATTGTTAGCAAAATCTGAGATACGGAAAAATCCGCAAACACAAAGCAATTGGTTTTAAAAAATTATTTGAAACTTATTAGCAGAATTTGAGATATGGCGAAATCCGAAAGCACAAATCAGATATGATGCAAAATCGAATCCGAGCCGCACGTATGACGCAATTTCCTTGTAGCAAATTCGGGCCTCCACCTATCGCCTCCTAGGATAGAAAGAATAACTTACAGAATAATGGATTATGCGAACCGAATTAGGAAGCTTTTGGAAGGAGAGATTTTGGAGGAAAAAAATTGAGAGAATTTTTGGAAGAGAGATTTTTCGTGTATCTAAAAGAGGGAGGAAAATTATAATATATATTATATTTTTTCAGATTATTTTGTATTTAATCACGTGAAAAGGAAAAATATGTTCATTTCTGCACGTTGGCATTAAGTTGCAACAAATTATTTTATCTGATTTTTAATTTTTTTCCAAATAAAAATAAATTAATCAGATAAAATATGAGATAAAACCATTTATTCCTCTTTCTAATTTTTAATTAAATACCTAATAGTAACAAGTCCGTATTTTCTGTTTGAGTGCGACAATGATCTGTGGAACACGGTCGTGTTTGATTCAAATCAGATGCCATGTCAATTTCCATTACAGTCATGTCAATAATCCATTGAAATTAAATGATGGGAAAAGACTGATTAATTTATTTAATTTTCTAACGTGAATAGTTTTGATGAGTTTTTAATGGGACTAAAAGAAGCTCAAATAAATATTAAAAATGATATCTTAAATTACAAAAATGTATTTTGAGTGTGATTTTTTTTAAAAGTAAAAAAAGGTATTTAATTGTTGATTATGTTGTGCAAAAGTAAATGGAGTGAACAATCACTTCAATAATCAATATACAGAGAGATCTAACACATAATAATATTACATCAAACTTATAATCCATCCACAAACCACACTATTTTTTGATGTCGAACATAAATATTGCTACTAAACATGTATGTTTAATTTATGGGAAGCAAATGTACAGAAATTAAAGCACAACATCACTCACTCTGTCTCCCAAGGAGCTGTCATCTTCTAGGCTTTCTTGTCATAGCTCAGCTCAAAGCCCTCATTCGCGCTCTCCAGTACACGTTCTCCTTGCCCTTATCTCGGGATGGACTGTACGCTGCAAACTCTGCAAATTTGAGGCCATAGTCAGCCATCGCTTTAACCTCACGCTTCTTAATTTCATGAACTACGCTAATCGTAGTTTCTTGGCCTGGATTCAATGTAACTGGCAGAGCGAATTTTCCATCTCCTCGGATGGTAAAGTTGATTTGAGGAGATTTTGCTGGAAGAGCACTGCTGATGTGAATTACTTTGGCAGTAGCTGATAGTCCGTAGAAACAAATGATTAGGGTTAGGGTTAGGGTTAGCGTGTGGAAGAAATTAGAAAGAGAGAGCTTTGAACGCATTTTTAGTTTTTGTGTTTTATTTTCTTAAACTTTTCATTTGTGGTTGCTTCATTGTGTTCTTTGAGTTATTTATAGTGCGAAGATTGTTGTTATAAATTACATGATATTAAGTTATTGAGGTAATATGATTTTACCAATATGATTGCTACAATTTCATATGAATTTGATGTAATTCTATATTAGGAGAGAATTTCATTACATAGATACAATTAATCTTTAATTTAAAAAACAAAAATCAGTTATACAATTAATCTTTAATTTAAAAAATAAAAATCAGTTATTCCTTTTTTTTTTTTATCATATTTAATTTCTAGTGTAGTTATTACATTAAATATGAGTCTTTATTAGGCTAAATAGTAAATTTATAATGTGGATTAATTTTTATGTAATAGAATTATAATGATCGGCAGGGTATGTACATGTCAGCATTTAAAAAAAAAAAGAAAAGAAAAATAAAAAAATGAAAGATTGTTGTAATATTATTATAGAATTAGCCATATTAATTATCTCTATCGCTAACCACTATTTTATATGTTGTATATAATATATTATATTTATACGGTATATATATGTGTGTGTATATACACTACCAAAAAAATGGTCTTTCGCCACGGCTTGACGGTTCGTTACAATAACATCGTAACAAATAATGGTTTTTGTTACGACAACTTCCGTTACCAAAAAATATTATCTTGGTCAACGTTTCTGGTTCTTTAATTACGCAAAATAATCCGTAACAAAAACGAAGTTGGTAGACTTTGTTCAAAATAACATTAGTTACGATTGTGCTTCGTAACAAATGGTGTATAAATTTATTTTTGAAATTATTCTTTTTAATTATATTAAAATAAATTTAAAGAAAAGGAAAAAAAATGATTTTTATTAATAAAAAAATTATTTATTTTAATTATATTAAAATAAATTAAAAAAAACAAATAACATATGCTTTTTATATCCTCAGTTATACAATATTCACACTTTCAAAAATTATTCCACTCATCTTCATAGACATTGCGACTTCGAAGCCCTACATCCTTCCGGTGAAATCGAAGGTGTTCGTCAGCCGTCACAGCTCACCACTGTTGAGTTGAGGAGCCACCACCAACTTATTTTGGTACTCGATATGTCCTTCGATTTTGTTGACCATCTGTTATGGTTGATTCGCTTATAGTTTTGAGAATCAAAAAGGTTCCCTATCCTTCGCCCTATGAGTCGAGCGCCGACAATGGTGTCATGACTTTTAATCGCCATCTCCAATGCCTCTTCAGGGACAATTGGTCACCTATCCCCTTGACGGCGAAGGTGTCCTCACCCTCCTAGCCCTATAAGTGTCATTTGTCCTCTCATTTGTTTCCCCATTTTTATGTACATTATTGTTCATTTTCATCGGTGTTGATGGTGTTGACTAGTTAGTTGAGTATGAAGTTCGGGTTGATTTGGTAGGTATTCTCTCCATCCCCAAACTTACCCTTCCGTAACTGCCTCTTCAGCTTGCACTCCACCTGCTCGATCAATTGCTCATTCGGCTAATTTCTTCCCCCTTGATCCAAAACCAACTCTATATATCTTCCGAGTTGATAAGATTGTAGGCTTCTTATTGGATAACAAAATAAATCAGCTCGCTGCGGGCCTTTTTCTTACTTGTGATATGGCATCAAATTAAAGTCTTTTATTGAATTATATTTGTTACTCTCTTTATACATGTATTGTCTTCTAGCATTTTTCCTCTTTTCTTCAGTTCTTACAGGGTAGCTTCCATAGGTTTGAAATATAATATATATATATTTATTTTCTTGGATAGGAGTTTGCTAAATTAAAAAGAAGAAGGTTTAGACCAGCAAAGCAAATTTGGAAAAGTTAAGATAAGAGAACGAGCATAAACATTTTTCTCTAAGTATTTTTACTTCAGCCTTGTGAGTCAATTTTCAGCTTTAAATTGATTGTGGTTGATGATTCAATTAATCTATGTTCTGGTTTATTTATGTCTCATTCACCTGGCTTGTTTTATTTTGGTGTCTGCATTTTGTTTTGGTTGTTGGCCTTTGTTGCTCTTCTTGTTGTTTGTGTGTGGCAGTTGAGTCACTCTAGATTGTGAGAATTTTGGTGAGATGGTTGTGATTTGTGTTCGATTTGGTTGTGATCATTCTTGGAAAGTGTTGGTTTCATGCATATATCTTGGGTGGTAGTAACCTCAGTTTTGAGTTGCCAATGACTTCTGTTTATTTTATTTTGGTGCTTCTTGAAGTCATGGAGTTGGAGGCTGATATTGGTGTATGGTAGTTTGTCTTTGATCGAATAGGTTGGTGCATGGGCAAGTTATTCAAATCAGATTTTGATTGACAGTCATCCAGGTAACTGAGTAGTGCGAGGGGTGTGCAGAGTTGGTGTTGGCAGCATGGTTTTTCGGGTGTGCAACATTGAAGGAAGAATCTTGGATTCTTATGCATCCATTTGATATTCCACTTCATTATTTTTTTATCTAGACTGGTATTCTCCTCAACTCTGAGTTGCTGGTGACTTTTGTTTTATTTGATTTTGATGCTTCTTTAAGTCATGGAATTGGAGGCTGGATTGATCCAAGCAGTCCATTATTTGATTTGTTGTTTCCTTTGGCAGGTGCAGTGGAAGTTCATCTCTGGTTTTGATATTGTGAGTTTAGTTCTCATCATGGGATTTCACATATAGTTTTGATTCTTGGAGGTAGATTTTTTTATTGTTGGCTTTGCATTGAGGATTGAACATATCAGGTGTGATCTTTGGTTGATTCTTCCTTTTGGTTGGTGGCTTGTTATATCCTTGCGCTTGAGTTTGCGGTTTGGAGATCATGGATTGGATGATTGGTGCAATATTGGTTATAGGAGATATTTATTCTCAAGGAGTGGGTTTGTTGTTAATCTAGTCTAGTTGTGGGAGGTTGGTATGGCTTGAGTTGCCGAATTGCTTGGGATTTTATGGTTTTTGTAATCATGTTTAGGCTTTGGATGGTTGGATTTGGTAGGTTTCTTTTAGTTTGGGTCTGTGCGTTCCTATGTATATATAAGATATATAGATAATTTTGTGATATATATATATTTAGTATATATTAGTTTAATTAAAGAGGTTCTTTAAAAAAAAATTATCTTTTATATTCATTCCATCCAATTTCTTTCATTTTTAAATTTTATTTTCTCCAATAGAATGTTTGATATAGTTGTACGGTAGGGTAATATGTTTAAGTGGGCCGAGGAGTTTTTCTTGTTTTTCTACTTGTCACCTATTGTTGTGTTTTCAATTATATATCTTTTTAATGAAATGTAGTAGCTTGATTGTTTAACCTTCATTCTGTCCTAGTTTTTTTGTTCATATTTTTTATGATTTAGAAGGTAGGAATCTTTCGGATGTATGTTTAGTGTTGGATGAGCTACCATCATGCTTGAATTTATGTTGATTAATATCAGAATATGACAAACGTGTTTTGATTTTCTCCTAATATACGTTTTCATACTGCCAACTAACACTGGTGTCTTGCAGGTTATGGGCAAATCTCAACGTGGTGCCGTTGGAGGGTCACAGGATCCGGCAGTCTCTCCCGCAAGACGTTTTACCCGGGCATCCGCACGTAACAGCCCCCTAGAGGCAACTCATCCCGCAAGCAGGAATCCATCGCCCATCCGCAATCCCACAAAGAAAGTGACAAAACGGAAAGGATCTCGGGTCTCGCCATTGCTCCAGCGACTCCGGTCCATCACATCAGAGTGGGAGAAAGAGCGCGATGCTCGTGGTCAAAGCATGAAGCCAACATCTTCCACTCGAAGGGCAGTGCTTCAGGATTCAGAGGGCCCTTTGGAGGTAATGTGGTTCCTTTGCCGAAAGCATGTCCTTATTTGAACTCTCAGTATAACACTACAATAGGCTGACACTGTTAACCCCAACAGGAACATGATGATAGGGATGTTCCATCACTTTTTGATCCGACGGCACTGACACAGGATGACGATGATACAATCCCCCCCACACAAGCAGATGACGAGACACTTCCGCCGACGCAGGACATGGAGACTGCAGAGAGTGATATGCCACTCTTGGATGAAGGGCCAGGCTCCGACCCCACTCTGATGACAGGAACAGAGGCGGGCAATATGGCACCATTGGACGAGATGACATCGCACGACGGTTTGGAAATTAGCCTTCAAAGATTACCGATTACATTTAGTGACTTCATATTTTGCATGTAATATCCTTATTAGAACATGTAATCTCCTGTTTGTGTCAGCTGGTTCGTCAAAGAAAAAGCAGGGGAGAGGGGCGGCACGAATGCCGCGTGGATGGGGAAAAGATCACAGGATGCTTGTATTCACATCGCCGGATGATAAAAGCATCGTCGGACCCGACGTAAACGAGTACAAGACAGCCATTGGGGTCATTGCACGCAACGGAGCTCGACTTCCTCTACATTACCCCACGTTCGCTGAGATACCGGAGACGAAGAGACAGGGTGCATGGATGGAGGTTCAGGTGATGCAAACTTCATTAAATTGAAAGTTCTTTTATTTCATATAGATTCTTATATATGGCCCTACCATCTTCTCCGGACCTGGTGGAAACCGTGTGAAACGGCATTCCAGAGTAACAGCGGATTACCAGACTCAGCGGAGAAAGTGGTCTTGGCTGACCTAAGGGAAGTTTGGAGGCACTGGAAATACAGCATCAAATCAACTTACTTCAATCCGATCGAGGACGATGAAGAAGCACTGAAGAAGGTTCCCTCAAGCAGGATTGTGCCCGATCAGTGGCCGAAGTTGGTTGAGTATTGGCGCGACGAGAAGGTGAAGGTACGCATAGGGACATGCCAAATTAATATACGTTAAATCTGCACGGGCATGGACTGAGAACTAAATAACTTTGATTGACGTAGCTTCAATCCAAGAAAAATGCGTCGAACGTAGCGAAAAGAAGCTTTCCACATCGTACTGGGCGGAAGTCATTCACGACTCTGGCAGAGGAGGTACCTTTTATTACAATTAAGTAATTAGTCATGTCATGCTCCATCCCCATATTTTCCTCTCCTGTATTTCATTATGTTTTCGATGACAGAAGGCCTTGTATTGCTGCAGATCAAGGCAAAGGGGAAGGACCCCGACAATCTGGAGATTTGGATTTCCAGTCGCACACAAGGCAAGGGAAAGGATGACCAAGAAACCGAGGAGATATTGGTAGAATAAATTCGTTCCCAACTTAGTTACAATTCAGTCAGTATTTACATCTCTAACAACAAGAGCAAGTTCGGCCTCACTTAAATCTTTCCTGCAGACTTATTTACAGAATGAGCTAAACAAGGTTCCCCCTGAAGGGCGGACTCCCTCTGTTCGGGAGACTCTGTACCGACGGGCCCTTGGGGGAAAGATTAAGAAGCGGTCAAAGGTCGACAGTGCGGCAAGTTCAGCTCATCCCCGCAGCGAGTCAACTGGTTTAACAGACAGTGTAGCATTCCAGCATGGGTGGGAACAACTACAGAATGGAATGGACGAGCTGAAGGCAATGATGGATGAGTTCAAAACCATCAAGGCTGATGTGTATGCATTTATGCACAGAAACTCCGGAGCGGTTACTGGCCAGGCAGTAAGTATTCATAATCCCTGACCTGTTTGGTATGAGTATCCCAGGAGATTTGGATGGCGAAGGAATTTACCATGATCGGCATGTTATATGATAGGGCACATCTCGTATTGATTCAGTCCCTGAGATTCCCAGCCCTGTGTCCGAGCCAAGCATGACGGTATGATTCCGTGACGCCCTGGAGTTTCTTAGAAATCAGTGCAGTGTCTAATTTAGGCTACTCTTGACTGCGTACTACCTTATCCAACTCATATGCCCTGTCTGTTGTAGGTCGGCACACATGTGCTTCTATTTTCCCGCACCGGTGAGAAAAAAGTTGTTGCAGAGGGACTTCTGCTCTGCCCCCCTGGGCCAGGTTGGTCCGGTATCTTTGAGGATGTTTAATTAAACTTTTAATATGCCTCAGCGAGATATCGTAGGTTTTCGTGACTGTTCAGGCCTCATATTGCGTATTAGCATGGATTCACTAAGTGTAGAAGTATACAATGATACGATCCGTGGATTTCCAAAGCGATGTAGACTGTTAATGTAGGGGTGGTAAAATAACTGCTATTATGACGACCCATGTTTATTGAAGGATGTTTGGTTTAAAGATCAAGCTGCAATTACATAGGAAATTAGGGTATAATGTGCTTCGCTACCTAACTCGTGAATGTAATACCATGTACTGTACGACATGTCTGAATGTACGTACTCCTCTTGTTCTAGTTCCAAAGTATTACACTTATAATGTCTGTGTTATGACATGTTATATATACAGTTCGAACGTCTGTTGATATATATGCTTGAATGTAATCAAAAATTGCTCTTGTGAATGCTGTAGGTGACACACTTTCCTTGGTCAAGGTCTTCGTGACATCCGCGTCAGTCCCGGACACACCCCTTATTTTGCCGACCATTTCTGGGGCGACTACCCTTCACGATGTCGTCGGCGAAGATCCTATTGAGTGGAGCTACAAGGACGTAAGGATCTACTTTAATACCTTTCTTGTATTGCCTTCCGAAATTTATAAGAAGTATGACTTAAAGTAATCTCTGTGTTGGCAATTGCAGCTCATGCGCCGGGCTTGAAATGTTGGTACCGATACACCCATGTTAGTTGCCCCGTTTGTCATATGGATTGAATGTCGAACCTGTCTTTGGATGGATTGTGTTGAGTTTTTGTTGAACTATGTCTGGAATTGATGCGTAGACCTTTGTGGTTTGAATTCGTATGGTGAAAAATGTGCCTAATGGGATTGATGGATAACCGTATTTGCTTATTGCGTTGTTTACTTGTGTTTGAACTGTTAAGCACGTTTTGCGGAACAGGTTGTTGATGTGTAGATACTAGTAGGCTTGTTCTATGGGTTGCTTTACTTTGTTGGTAGGTATGGAATTCAGATTTTAATATGAATTAATGTTTGCGCGGGGCGTAATGATGATGATGTTTATAGCAATCTTTGTATTCGTAATTTATTTTCGTATCATACGCATCACAGCAGGTCCATTTGTTACGAACAATTTCAATTGCAGCGTACCCCCTGTTTTTCACAATACGCTATTTTTCCGTAACAAAAGGCCAGAAAATCGTAACAAAAAGTGGTCTTTGGATATTTGTTGTTACAGACGGTTTCGTGACTATAAGTAGGTAATATTTTTTTTACGGGGTTCAATGCCGTTACAAATAGTCGTAACAAAAACCAAGTTCTGACAACCGGTCAATGGAAAACACTTGTAACGCGAGGAACTTCCGTAACAAATACCGTAACTAAAAGTCCTGCCACACGCGCGGAAGGATCTACCTTTCGTTACGAGAGAAAATTCGTAACAAACATCGTAACAAATACCATACTTCAGGGAGCGTTGACCGATCGTAATAGTTACGAAAAGTGGCGTGGCAAAAAACATTCGTTACGCGAGTACACATTACGGAAAAAAGTCGTAACAAAGGCGTAGCAAATACGCAAATTGCACGAAATATGGCTTTTTGTTACGATTTTCCGGCCGTAATAGAAAACAGTTTTTTTGGTAGTGATATGTATAACGTGTCTTATGAGTGATGATGATTATATATGCATGTATCTTAGTACAAATATATATATATAAGTATTCTGTGTAGTGGGTTAATACTTAAATATATATTATATGTATGAGATGATGTGATGTGCAGAGAGTAATAAATGAGGGGAGATTTGGAGAGAAATTGGTGTGTTCTATTTCATTCATTTGTGCATATATTTATAGGAGTACAAGATTACAATATATGGCATGCAATTAGCCATCAACGCATAGATGCAACAAGTATTGATAAAGGAAGCATCCACAAATGACTACGTTTTGTATACGTAGTTATATAACACTCCCTTGGATGCTATTATACAAATAATGTGTCTCGTTAAAACGTTACTAGGGAAAAATTCTGTGGAAAAAAATCATAGTGAAGGAAAAAGAGTACAACATTCTTGTATTTATTTGCTCTCCCTTATCTGAACATTATTTGAGATTCCTGAACCGACACATTCTAATTTTCTTTACTAAATTTTCTAATGTTGCAGTCGGTAAAGCATTGGTTGATATATCATCCAAATTATTATCTTATCGAATTTATTGCACATTGATTTCACCATTTTTTTAAAGATCATGAGTAAAAAAGAATTTTTGTGAAATATGTTTCGTTCTATCTCATTTAATGTAACATCCTTTCAATTGGGTCATACAAGCCGTATTATCTCCATACAATGTAGTCAGGGGAATGTGCACATTGTTGACATGAGTAGTATATTCAATCTATTTAACCTCTTATTCAACCTCGGGGATATTTCATCATCCCCGACTCATATCACTATTTAACTCCGGGGGTATTACATACTTAAAGGATGTGATTTATCCATCAGAAATTGTTTCAGTACTCTTTTTGTATAATTTGATTGGTGGATAGAGATTCCACTTTCCAAGTGTTCAATTTTCAAACCAAGGCAAAATTTGGTTTTTCCAAAAATTATTGATCTCAAACTCTTTTTTCAAATATTTAACAACTTTCTAAATTTCATCAGGAGTTCCAATTAAATTGAGATCGTCGATATATACATCGATGATTACAAATTTTGACCAATTTTTCTTTATGAAAACACATGGACGTATAGGGTCATTAATGTAACCTTCTTTTGTTAGAATTTCGCTGAGACAATTCTACCATATTCGGCCTAATTGTTTGAGCTCATACAAATATTTTTGCAATTTGATGGAATATGATTCTTTTGGCTTTGATTTGAATGATTCAGGTATGTTAAACCCTTATAGGATTTTCATGTAGACATCATTGTCTTAGGAACCGTAAAGATAGGCAGTAACCACATCCATTAATCGCATATCAAGATTTTCGCGTACTGCGAGACTCACCAAATACCTGAATGTTATTTCATCCATGACTGGGGAATATGTTTCTTCAAAATTAATGTCTGGTCTCTGGAAAACCCTGGGCTACAAGCCTTAGTTTATATCTTGTGATATCATTATTTTCATTTTTGTTTCTCACAAACACTCATATGTAACCAACATGTTTTACATTTACAGGTGTTTGGACTATGGAGCCGAATACTTGCCATTATTTCAATGAGTCCAATTCAGATTGGATTGCGTCTTTCCATTTTTCCCAATCATCTCTTTGCCGACATTCATCAACTGATTTTGGTTCAGAATCCTCGTCATCTTTCAACTTGTCGGCCTTATTTTCACGAGGGTTGTTGCATGTAATATAATGTGTCCCCAAGCTAATACGGGAAGTTTAGACCTCATTAACAATGGTCTAGCAATTAATTGGAATATTTTGACAAGGGACTCAGCCAGACCATTTTGCGTATGTACATGGAGAACAGGATGTTCCACAGTAATCTCAATTGACATGCAGTAATCATCAAATGTATGTAACGAATACTCTCTAGTATTATCTAACCATATTTTCTTTATCGGGTGACTTGGAAATTGTGCTCGCAATTTAATTATTTTTGCAAGTAGTATAGCGAAAGCTAGATTGCAAGAAGATAACAGACATACGTATGACCATCACGTTGACACGTCAATTAGTACCATAAAGTACTTGAAGGGTCCACACGGTGGATATATAGGTCCACAAATATCACCCTGAATTTTTTTCAAAAAGTTGGGGATTCAAATTCAACCTTTGTAGGAGATGACCTGATTATTAACTTCCCTTGGGAACAGGCAGCACAAAGCAAATTCATCCGGACTCAAAATATTCTTCTTTTTCAATGAGTGGTCATTTGAATTTTCAACAATTCGCCTCAGCATTACATTGTCAGGATGCCCAAGTCGATCGTGCTAAGTTTGAAAGTCAATTTGAGTAATACAAGCCGAAAGAAAACGATGGCAATTTTTCTTTCAATATTCTTTTGCCATTCACAATCTGAGTAATTAGGAGATACTTATTTTCTGCCTCATTCAATGTTTCAATGTGATACCCATTTTTCCGAATATCACTGAAGCTAAGTAAATTCCTTCGAGCTTTGCTCGAGAACAAGGTATTTTTAATTGCTATTTTTGTCTCTTTATGGAGAAATACAGTAGCTTTTCCGAGCCTTTAATCATTTTCGATAAACCAATGATAGTAACAATAGTGGTCTTTCCTATATTCATGTGGGAGAAATAACTTTTGTTTTTCAGAATAATGTGAGTCGTAGCACTGTCGATAAGGCAGATATTGTAATCGGCTCCAAAATATTTGGCATTCATATATTTGCAAGAAGGTAAAAATAATAAGAGATATGTATTAGTAACATAATCAAAATAGATTTATATTATAGGGGGTAATACAAAAAGGGGGATAGAAAGCATCAAAATAACAAAAGAAATACAACATTTTGTCATTTAACATCATCAGCTATCTCAAGCAGATCATCGGCATCCAGGTACGTGATATTTTTATTCATCATATCATCAAATGTGTCATCGTGGGCAGCGTGATTTGTTTCGAAGGCAATTCCCTGTCTTTTTTTTAATGCTCGATACAGTTCAACCAAGTGACTGGTTGTGCGACAAACATGGGCCCAATGGCATTTAATTCCACAGCGGGTGCACTCTTCGTCATTGTTTCTGTTTCTCCTGGTGTTAAACCTCTGTTGAGGTTTGTATGGCATTCTATCATTATAACGTCGATTTGGCACATAT